CGGGACCTGCGCTCCCCGCCGGCCTTCGGAACAGCGGGGGAGGGAGGGATGGAGAGTGCCGGGTTTAGTCTATGTCTGTCTCTGCCGGGTGTGCGCCCCTTCTGCCCAAAGATCCGGACCCTCGCTTGGAATTTTATTTATCTAATTTGTTCAACGCCTAGCGATTGTTGTAGGGCCTGGTGATATGCCAGAAATTGCCTCTATAATCATAGGTATTCTTCACATGAGGAAGGGTTGATGGTCTCTTAAACTTCTTTTGCTCCGGTTCATTTAGAAATGAAGTTACAGTGCAGCCTGCAGGTGTGGCTGTCACATCTGTTCTTTGCAACCAATTTGTTTAATTAATTTATACATTCTCGAGTATTTATGTTGTCTGTATCAAAGAAAATAACAAAATCACAAGTCAGATATTTTTACCCTATCACGCAGGAGTTGTTAAGCAAATTTGATCGGTGTTGACGTTGATATGTGACATTGTTTGTTTTAAGACCTTGTTTTTGATAATACACAGATATTAAACTGAGTGCTGATAGGACTGCAGCAGATGAACATGGAGCAGTGCTGATGGAGCTCTGCCAGCCGTGCTGTTTCCTAGGATTCCCTTCCGCTGCCAGTATCTCTCAGCCTTGCAGGGAGTGCCTGACTGTTTGCACACACCAGAATGTTTTGCCACTCTGGGGGCTGGGCTTCTTTTTTTATTTATTTATTTTTTTATTGCAGTCAGCTGTTCATGGTAGCACATGACATTTGCACCCAGCTGGGTGCTGAGTTATTCTGTTCTGGGCAGCAGCACAGCCCAGCTGGTGCTGCCAACCTGCTGGGTTTGTCACTCATCTGTCCCAGCAAGTCATCTGCCCATGACTGCCTAAGCCCTTCAGGAGACCACAAATGAAGTGACCCTAAAACTGGACAGCTTTTTTGTGCCATAATAGACGCAGTGGTCAAACAAAGAGCAAGATAATGTGAGTGGGAAGGTACAAAGAGTAATTTAAATGTAATTTAAAGGTCACAGAAAAGGCAGTGTGTTGCACCAACATACAGCAGTTGATTTTGAGCAAAATAACTTCATTGTTCAGCTTGAAACAGTGTATTCCTTTTGCAAGGCTAAAGTTTGTGTCTAGTTTGTACAGGGTGTTCTGAATTAAGGGTGGAAGTAGGCTCTCAGGAAATTAAATACAAGGTGCCTCTGCTTAGTCCTTGATACGCCATTTGGGGGCTTGGGAAAGTCTTTTCTACTCGGATAATGTTGTACATAAAGGCAAGAAACACAGAAAGATAAATGTTAGAGGGCAGCTTAGGTAAACAGTCCCAGGAGGAGCAGGAGTGAGCACTGCCAGCTCCCTCAGCAATTACTCTGCACACACTCTTGTCTTTCCATGGCCGTTGTAAATGTTATCAGGTAGTGCCTGGAGACACCCCACCACCTTCCCCATACATTTCCCCCACACAGGAAAATTAGGCTGTGTGGGTTTAGGAACTGCATAAGACACACAGGAAGAAAGGTTTATGCCCTTTTGCTTCTGCTTGGCTGGGCTTTCTGCCCTGGGCACTCCCAGGGCTCGAGACAAGTAGATGCAGGGATTTGTCATGCAGTAGAAAATGCACATTCAAATGAAAAAACATTGACTGAGCGAGCAGTGACTTGTAAATATTTGCACATTATTTTGTTCTACACCATGCAGGTTAAATGTAGATGTGCTGTTTAGATGTTTCAGTTAACGCTACCAAAATAAAATAATACATTTCTTTACCTCCAGCTAAAACTCTGAAGTGTTTTTACTTGCTTCTTGCTGCCTCCAGGACATTACTCCCTGATGTAGGAG